TAGAATTTCGAAAAAAGACTTTCACTCAGATGGATGAAAAGAGGCTATCTCGTCTTGCCGCAAAAACACTCTTCAATGGACCATCGTTTGCTGTAAAAGTGGATGAGAATGATTTGAAAGGCTTTAACGCGATAACTCCTCCGCCAATACCACCACCCATTCAGGAACCCGTGCCCATAAGGCCTACTTTCTTCAGAAATCGGCGTTTTATTCCAACACAGCTCGTTCCCATTCAGCCATTCACGACATTTCGCAACACGCGAGTCTATTAGCCCACTGCTTTTTAGTTCCTTTGTAGTAGCTAAATACTAATTTCTCTTTTTTTCTGAAACGGGTGCCGGAAATGCCATTGCTAGTCAAGTTTCTCTCGTATTTTTTTTTCAATTTTGAGTTTACATTGTTCTTAAAGAAACTGTATCGTTTATCTAGTATGTTTTGACTGGTGAATTTATAGGTTGTCTTTCTAGGCAAGTGATTGTTTACCGTTGCGTATATGTGTTGTGTATAAGTGTTTACCGTTGTGTGTATGTGTTGTGTACAAGGAAAACATAGTTAAATGTTTATTTCAATAAAGATGCATAACATCAGAGTCTGAACACGTGGCACATTTCATTCTTCGGGAGCAGGTCCTACCAACGTATCGTCGTAGTCAAGGTCTGGACGTCCAGGATGATGTTCCTTTACTTCATGCTTAAAATCTTTCATGAATACACTGTCGCTGTAGGCGCCTAGTGCTTACTTAGCTATTTGACTTTCTCGAAAATGCTTCTATTCGAAACCGCAGTTTGGAAACAGTGCAATCAATTTATTAAAAATGCTCTTTTTTAGACTGCACAATCATTTAAAAGAATAATTTCATTTTTTTTTGAAAGAGTCTTTTACTGAAGGCGGAATGCACTATTTTGTTATACCAAGTCTTGTAGAAGGAAAAAAAGAATTTTGCAAGAAGGTCGAAATTTGGGAGTTTTTAAGACTGACTTCTAAATTGATTAATAAGAATTACTGGCAATATATATAACCTTTTAACCTTGTAAATTAAGCTATGGCTTGACTGTAAAATAGCAATACCTACCTAAGGACACTGAATTTTACGAACTTGTAGTTTTACGATTCCATTCTGTAAAAAGAAAACGCAGCATTCTACAATAAAGTTTTGAGTAGTCAAATTGTACTATGCATCAGAAAGTGCTCAGAATCTTATTTGCAGATAAATCAGTTTCAAGCTGCAGTTGACTTCTTCGAATTTTTTTCCGAAAGGGAAATGCTGCGCTAGTAGATAACTGTTCTTTTTTAGACATTCCAATGATAACTTCAATCACAAACCCACTCTTTCTT